GAGGCTTTGTTCACCCTGGTTTGGGCCCCACCATTACTATTCTATCTTTTGATATTCATCCTCCTGACACTAATCAGCAAGTATTGATTTAGACATTGCACATTTCCATAGGAATTCCATTTTAATTCAACATTAGAGTACCATTAAAATGTAAAGGAAAGGGCATGAAAAAGTCACTTCAAAGCATTACCATCTGAAGAAAATTTGCTGGTTTTAGTCATCCTGCCAGCTCTGCTCTGGATGGGGCAATGACCAGGCATAGGGGAGTGGCCTCTCTTCCTGGGGCACACTGAGGATTCACAGATGCTTTGTGACCCAGCCTATTGGTCGGTTTGAGGGGTGGGTGGGGGAGAGGAAGGACATGGCATCCCCTTATATCTCTGTCCACTGGGCATCCCAGGGGTGTGGGCTGTGTCTACCTGCAGCATGCTAGAAGAAAGATGGGAGTGGGGCAAATGTGATATGAGAGGGAGAAATGAGTCTATCATCAGGAAGAAGAGCTAAAGAGCCAGGATGCAAATACTTCCTGTGCTGAGAATGCCCTGAATGCTCCTCTCCACAAACCAAAGCATCTCTAGAACGAACGAGCAGAGTCTTAAGGACTCGTGTTGTATTTTTATTCTTTCTCTCTGAGACCAATAGCAGACTTTGCTTGCTTTCTACATCCCTTGGCATTTCCTTACATCTTGGACTTGACCGAATTCCCTTACCAAGACTTTACTCTATCTTTACTGCCCAGTGAGTCCATCTACCCTGTGGCCTCCATGGACTGTAGCCATCTCTCCACCAAGAAGCTCCGTGGCTACAGACCCAGCCTGGTCTTACTGGAGGCTCTTGTTTTCATCTCTTTCCTGTATTTTTTCACCTGGGATCCCATGACACTTTCAATTCACTTAGCTACACCCATTTACCTTTTCTTTCCCAAACCTGCTCCTCTTCCCATGAATCCTAGTTACCACTCCTCCATCTACCTTTGAACCACATCTGAATCTTGAGACTGTCCTAGATTCCTCCTCTTTTTGCACTGCATATTGCATCACTCTCCATGCCCTCCAATGTCTCTTATGCCCGCTCTTCCTGTCTCCATTCATGGCTTTGTCCCTGCACTCTGGATGTCTTCTCTACAATTCCCTGATGCTTCTCCCCACTCTGAGCCCAGCTCTCACCTAGTCCTGCTCTCACATCATTCTGATTGGAATTATTTCCCCAAGGACACATCTTAACCTTCAGTACCCATAAATATGAGGGTTTTTTTGGAAATAGTGTGCTTGTAGATATGATGAAGTTAGAATGAAATGATTTTCAGTTAGGGTATGACCACTATGACCTGTGGCATGGCTTCAGAATCAGAAAAGAGATGATTGATTGGAATGACAGATGCAATGTTTATCAATCTTTAAAAGTCATGTGGGTTTTTTTTGTTGTTGTTCTTTCTTTTTGATTCTGTGTTACTTTATGAAACCACGTTCTCCAGTGAAGCAGTAACACAGGACAACTATGTACATACAACATAGAAAAAGATTTATTATAAGGAGAGTTTCCAAGTTCTATAGTAGGCAATCTGGAGATCCAAGAGCCTCAGTAGTATAAGTTCCAGTCCAGAAGCCTGCAAGACAAAATCCTCAGTCAGTGTTTCAGTTAAGTTCCACAATGGGAAAAGCTCAAGCAGGGAAACAGGAGTTCTCTCTTACATCAGGAGGGTCAAGCTTTGTGTTCTAGTCAGGCCTTTCACACACTGGATGTTAGAGTGAAATCTCCTTCATGCAGTCTGCTGATTTACATGTTGTCATGCAAAAAGATGCAGATATGCCCAGAGTTATGTCTGCCTGAATACCTATCTGGGCATCTTGTAGCCCAGTTCAACTGCTACAGAAATTTAACCATCTCTGAGACCAACAAATCTTGTTCTGCCTATCTTTGTCCCTTTGGTTCCTTATATCGTTGGCTTACCCATTACTAACTCTTCTCCCCTGGGCTGCAGAACAGCAAAACTTACCATCAAGAAGCCGAAATTTAGCTGGGCATGGTGGTGCACACTTGTAATTCCAATTCTCTGGGAGGCTGAGGTAGAAAGATCAGAAATTTGAGACTAGTGTGTGCAAGTTAATGCCTTAGCAAGACTCTGTTTTAAAATAAGAAAGATGTAGTCAGGGATGTAGTTAGCGCAAAGGCCCTTGGTTCAATCCCCATGACTAGGGAGAAGAAAACTACAAGCTGGTAGAGAAGCAAGAAGCAGGCTCTCCCTGGGGGCCTCACAGAGGAACCAATATTGCCCAAGTCTTGATTTTAGACTCTGAGCCTCTCTTATTGCATGAATAGATTTATCTGATTAGGAACATCAGGCTATTTAATCCCTCTATATATACTCTCCTCTGAGAAGCCCTTCCTGTCCACTCAGAGCAGAGCCAACTGCTCTGTCTGTGCATTACCTTTTTACCTACTATGTGCTCACACAGTGCTGTTACAGCTCCACTGTGCTATGTAACAAGCAGGATTACACTCCTACTTTTCCTGTTGCCTATCTCCCCTACAGGCATTCAACAAACACTGCGCTATACAAAGGAGCCCAATGAACAAATACATGAAAATGGGGTCCTATTCATCCCTGAGTTCCTGTACCAAGCATAATGCCCAGTACATGGTCAATGCCCAAGGACAGAGTTGACTCTTACAGAACCATCTGTGTTTAGACAGGGAAGAGGAGAAGGAAGGACAGAGGGAGGCAGCTGCTCCCTGGATTTGCTTCCTTGTCTATGCTGTGGACTCAACTCCACCACTCACTAGTGTTCATGTGTCTGGTGCATGATAGGCAGAGAATTACGAGTGAAGGAGGAAAGAGGCCAGGTGAGAGGAAGTTGGGGTAGCAAGAAAACTGCTTGTGATAGATGCCAGGGATGGAAAGCTTTACCCACAGCATCATGTCTGTCTGTTATGGACCATTAATACACATCTGATAGTGGGCAGATGAGCAGGGCACATCAGTGTTCCCAGGAGTATTCACCTCTCTGTGGTACCCTGTCTCTCCAGGCCCACAGATTTATTCAAAACTCTTTTTGAGAGGAATATCATAGAATTTCGGAATTGTTGAGTTAAAAGGTGTATTATGGAAGATTGAGGCTCAATGATTCTGGAATTTTATTTATTTATATATTTACTCCAAGAAGGGTGAGTTTATTTTGATTCACGATTTCAGAAGATTCAGTTCTTGTTTGCTTGGCTCCAAGGAAGAAAAGGTGTGGAAGAGGAAAGATTCCAGGGCACCCTGGAAGCAGTGAGAGGCCATGCCTCCACTCTTAAAATTTCAGAATTACAGGAATCTTGGAGTTCCTCTAGGTCCTTGTCATGGTTTCTGTCCGTGGCTCCCAGGCCTCATGCGTTTGCATTATGCATTTGTGATTAGTTCATTTTCTAGCACTTGCATTGATGGTGTCAGTGCTGCACCCACATAGGGGTGGAGCCAGGATGTAATATAATGGCAGGAAGAAGGCCTGTCTTACTCTTTTGCCGGTTTCTGCCTTGCTGTTTGCAGCCACCATGAACTGCAGCCCCTGCCATGCCACCCTGCCGTGGAGCCAACTGAGTATGGACTGAAACCTCCAAAAACTGTAAGAGATAAACCTTTCCTTTCCCAACTTGGTGCATCAGGTATTTTGTCTCAGCAACAAGTAAAAAATAACTAAGACTCCTGCTGCATCTTTGTCTGTGCTTATATTAATATGGAAGAAAAAGGCCCAGAGAGGGGAGGTGGCTTTCCAAGGACACACAGCTGATTACCCTTGGTTTGTGTGACTGCATTCTCCTGGGTTATTTTGATACCTATATTAGTGTTTTATTCACTAATTGAATAAACCACATTTAAGAGGAAGAATCGCCCACAGGTGGCACCGGTTCTACTCATGTACTCTTTTTGGTAAACTTCATCACTTGAGTGGGCACAGTCCAACCCCTCCTGCTGCCCCCAGCATTACTTTGAGGGTGAGGACCACCTTAAATGTAACTTTCTGGGTTGTCCAGACTGCCCACCTGCCAGTTTAGAGATAAATCAGCTTAGTAAGAAAGAATTCTGGCCTACAGATATGAATGCTTGCCTACAGATATGACTTTTCCACTCTAGGTTGTATCAGTAATAGAGTGATGATAATAGAGAGGATATTTACCCTCTTGTTTGCTTTGTAGCAAAGCATTTGAGAAATGGAGTTGAATAACCCAAAGATTCTAGAGCCAGATCTGCTGAGTCTGTCCTGGTTTTGAAATTTACTACCTGGAGGCCCTGAGTCCCCTCTAAATGGTTTTCTTGTTGATAAAATGAGAACCGTTGGCTGGGTTACCTTTCTACATTGCTGGGACAAAATACTTGACAACTAAAATGAAGGAAGGAAAGGTTTATTTAGTTCACTCTTTGTGGAGGTTTCAGTCTACAATCAGCTGACTCTAAGTCAGGGTGGCATGGCTGAGGGCAACGCTTCAAGGCAGCAGCCAGGAAAGAAGCAGGATCAAGCCTCTTGTCCTCCTTATATTTTTATGCATGCCACCTCCCAACCCCCCAGAAAGTGTGTATCTCCCACAAAAATCTCTGTGCCCTGCTTTTGAATAGGATGAGGATTACAGAGTAAGGATTCTGGCTATGTGCTGAGTCTCTTAGCTAAACTTCAAAACTTCTTAACTTGACACAATGTATCAACCATAACAATCATAATAACTTTCTCCTAGGACTTTTTGCAAAATTATTATACATAAAGAGCACTCAGAAGACTGATGGATGCTTAGAAAATATTCATTAATGCACTTGAATAGTAATTGTTACTAACAGATAATATTAGGTAATAGACATCAGGCTATTTAGAGATAATATTACTAATAGATAATATTAGATACTATTGTACCTTGATGTTTACATGTATTTAAGTGCTGTTATGTAGTTTTATCTTCCTTTAAAGTATGAGTGGTTAGGGACAAATGACATTAAATGGGTTTATTGTTATATTGTCTTACTTTTACAGGATTTCTTAAGAAACCGAGTCACTGCTGCATGCTCGGATTCCATCTGCTGTATGAGGTTAGTTTCTGTAGCCCCTGCCAAGGCATCACCCCTGAGGATGTAGTTATGTGAACTGTGTGCTTGATGTCAACAGACCCTCTTTGGCTGATGAAGAGCTTATCTTTATGGCACAATATTAATGACAAGCAGAACACCCTTGCTTCTTAACCAAATGACCAGCTTCTCATCAAATGAGCCCCAATTCCTCTGGGCTCGACTGATGATCCCAATTAAACGAGGTGCTTTGGAATTTCTTAAAAATATATATTTCATGAATTTATCACATGAGGTATAGATACAATTTGGAACCACTAGGAAAATGCCAACTCTCTTTTATTCTGTAGGGACTTTTAAACTTCTCACACGTGTTTAACAACAGACTCTGAGAACAAAAAACAAAGCATTTACCAATATCATGGTGTAAATGTTATTACCACAGCCAGTCTCAAGCTACTGCTGAATGCAGAATTTGGGAGAAGAATTTGAAACCATTTTATTTAAAGGTTAAGGAAGAAATGAGAGAATAATCCTGTCTTGTGGACTAGAGCAAGTCGGCTCCAGGAAACCATTGTCTCGCAGAATATGCATTGTTTATCATGGAAATGTCTGATCAGGAATTAACTTGTCAACCAAGAAATACACTCATTCATTAGATCCTTGTATTTGTTAGCTCTGCTACTATACAATATTTATTTTGGGAGAAGCATTATTTTAAGTTGAACACAAACATTAACTGATCTAACTTTCAGAGAAGCTATAATTGCAATATCTGAGGCACAGAGAAGGTGGAGCTGAAATTCAAACCTAAGTAATCTGGCTTCAGTCTTGTTGCATTTAACTTTACCCCCGTGTATTTTCTCTCTCTCTCTCTCTCTCTCTCTCTCTCTCTCTCTCTCTCTCTCTCTCTTCTACCACAGCACTCTATTCATCTGCCTAGTGGGTATAATACAGGAGATAATATTTTATTGTATGCTGTGTTACTTTGTGTGTGTCTGTGCACCTTTCCTATCAGGCCAAACTCCCTAGGGACAGGGACCACGACAGGCACCACCAGGTAGAAGCAATGGGTTGCATGAATGGGCCCCTGTTCTTTCCTCACAGTCCCCGCCTAGAGTATCAAAACAGATGAAGGCAAGGGACTATCTGTGCTGCAATCCAGGAACTAGTGCAGAGCTGAGGCATAGTTGCTAATCCTAAATGTCTGTGCCATAAATAAAATCCTTCTACTCTTGGACATTCAAATGCTTCCAGCTACTGAAGGTAGCTCACCCTTAGGAGCAACCATGCGTACTGCACTTGCCTGTGTATTTGTCTTGATCACCCTGCATTCTTGACATGAACAGAAACCGTATTTTACTAACTTCATAGTCCCAGAAGTCACCGCAATGGCTTACGCTTCATAGGATACAAATGTATTTTCAGACTGAATCAAACAGTGCGTGTCCAACAGATACTTGTCAATGGGCGAATTTGCAAAGAATTTGCCCCTCAAAACAGATGATATCTGGTAGGAAAGATGCTTAAGTGAAATTGGAGAGATTCTGTCTTTGTTATGTCACTCAAATGGTGATCACAGAAGAATTTATGCTATCTGTGCCTTGGGTGACTTTGTGCATAATCTTGCAAAGTAACAGCACTGAGCTTCAGGAAGCAAATTAATCTAGGAGCCCAGAGGTCAGATGTTCATTCACACAGACACCCCGTTACCCTAAATGAGTTCTACTTCACCTTTCAGGGCTAAGGACCTGGAAACTTTTTCAACAGATTGTTCCTGGTTAGATGATCTAGTGCAGTGATGGTGAACTTTTTAGAGCTTTCGATGATACAAACAGCCCATTGTGGCATGCATGCTGTAGGTTCATCACCACTGACCTAGTAGTATATTTTTAGAAGCAGGAAGTTAATGTCCAAGAATTACCCTGGAACCCTGTGAGTTAAATGTATGCCTACTACTGAACAGCAGACATGCAAAAGAGCTAACATGTGGTCATGTATTTGAACAATTCATTTCATAAATCTCAATGAAAGATAATGACCTGATTAATATTAATTGCCTTCTCTTTCCTTTCCAGGCATGGGCTAAGGGTGGGGGGAAGAAAAGAAAGAGGGACAGAAAGGAGTGAATTCTTTAGTGTGATTCAATTACCTCCCGAAGATCTTCAAAGATGAGCATGCAATTATCACTAATTGCAGATAGTACTACTGATAATGATCATAATCAATCACTTTGCTTGGCCCTGTTCTAAACAAGACTACTGGCATTTCCCCAGATCATTCACATTAATGGTCAGTGTTCCAGGGCTGTGCTCAGAAGGCATCAATGATTCTGAGTTCTGAATGGTAGAGTAATGGGAGGTCTTCCATGCCCACGCTCAGACATAGCCCACCTCTGGATTCTTCCACTCCCCAGCATAGACATAGGAGTGCTCTCTCTTCTGGCAATCAGAGTTTTGGAAGCAATAGCAGCTGTAACCCTCAACAACTTTCCTGGAACCAGGGTTGCAGAATGATAGTATTGAGAACTACCTCTGGCTGACCTACCTGTTTCATTCTTGTGGCAGTTGATTCTGTACCTGAAACCTAGGAAGCATGCTCAAGGATGCTAGAGATGAAAGTTCTCTACTCATGTCTATAGACTTTATCAATAAGAAATAGAATCTTTCCAAGAGAAAAAACATGCCATTATCATCTGCTTCCTTATTTGTCAGTTTCAGTGAAAATTATATCAGAAACTCACAATATAACTTTGAGGAAACTGTTCAGTGTATGTCAATTAGAGATTATACAGGAATTTCTTCTGGTATTTCAAAAAAAATCACTTAGGAATGTTCATGGCAGGACACTAATGAACCCTTCAAACTTACATAGAAACAATCCTGAGTAGTTATTATTATTAATACAACCTGTTGACCTAGGAAATCATGCAAGGATTTGTATCGTCAAAGAGTCAGATGCAGAAATGACACTGTTCTCAAGAGATTCTGACCTGGCCCAGGCTGCAGAGGTATGGTCTGCCCCTCCTTCCCACTCACACATGGGGTCTCAACTCTACCACTCCCCCAGAGAAGCTTTGAACCCAAACTCATCTCTTCCTATTCATTCTGTATTGAAAACATACATCATTAATGAATTAGAAGTATTTACCACCACCCTCAAGGAAGATGCACTCAAATGCAAAGAGATATAGCTTACCAAATGGCCTGTAAAATTTCTGTTTTCTTTATCATTTGTTTTGAGGTTATACCCACAAATTTCTAAACACACCCAGAGAGCTCCACTTGACTGCTTGAGTATTATTTGCTCTGGACCACTACGAGATTGTTTTCCAGGGGGTTGGAGAAAGACTCTCTGGAAGGAATTGTAAGTGTCTAAATGACCAAAAAAAAGAGCTATTTTTGCTTTGATCCTGAAATGTGGAAGCCTCAGTGTAAAAGCCTCCACACAGAGGAATCCACAGGACTACTCCCAAAATCCTGAGGATTCAAGATATCCGTGTCCTGTTTTTGCTATGCCTGAACTGCCATTCTCACTGCTTTTGTCCACAGACACTATTTGAGCATAAGTAAGTATTCTTATCTACATTCAGAAGATGGTTCATTTGGATTGATTCTTCCCCAGAAGCAATAAATCATTTTCATATCCATTTTATAGTGCTACTATGAAGACAGAAGGCAATTTCCAGTGTAAAAATCTAGTATTGGAGCAAGACTCTCCTGTTATACACTGCTGCTATCTCTTTGGTACTCTAGAGGCTTCCCAAAGTAGCGCTAAGAGAGTCCACATGCAATAGTCCAGTCCCAAAACATTTCCACTCTTCCAAGCTCATTTCAAGCCTGCCCCAAGGCCATTCCCACAGTTGTCATTCTTCAACTATCAGAAGGTGTGGCTGCGGAAAACACCCAGGATCTCTGTTCCTGGCTGAACTTGGCTTCTCATGTAAATAGATGCTAGGAGCCATCAGGCTGCCCTGGGAACCTCAGCTGCCTCCATCTGTATCTTGATATCAGACCTCTGCTGTGGATATACTTATAGGTCCACTAACTTTTGACTTAGTCTCTCCATGTTGGGAGAAATGTTCACAGGCTTAGTGAGAAGAAACTTAACCAAGTGACCCTTAACAATAAGCATTTAAATTCTGTCCTCAGAGCTCCTGGTTCACCAAGACTGCAGTGGGGTGGACAAATCTGAATTCTGCCTACTTCCTTGGGGGATCCCCTGACTCCCCTCTGACAGGTGTGGAGTACACACTGAGGCCCATACTGAAATAGGTGTTTCCCCATCTGAGAAATCTACTCCAGAGACCTGAGACTTCATGCCTTTGTCCTCTTTCCTGCTCTTTGGATTTGGCTTCTTTGGTTTTAAAGTGGCAGAAATTCTGTCCTTCTAAAAATCGCTGCTGCTGAATGTGGATTTAGATCCTGCATGTCTGTTACAGATTGAATTATGTCCCTGAAAACATAATGTCGGCTTTCTTATCTTTAGTGTCTCAGAAAGGGACCCTCTGGAAGTAGTCAAGGTAAAACTAAGTCACTAGAGAAGGCCTTAATCCACTTGCACTGGTGTCCTTATGCATAAGGTAATATCTGGGCCAGGGGAGACGTGAATTCAGGTGAGAACATGTGAAGTTTGAATTTTTGCAGTCGAAAGTGAAGCACTCTTTAAGCTGGATGAGAGGCCTGGAGCAGGAGTTTCTGCCTCCAGAAGTGCATGTCAGTGAATTTCTGTTGTGCAAGCCATTGGTCTGTGGCCACTGGTTATTGCAGAGCCAAGAAACCAAGACAATGCCTAAGTCTCCTGGGATATTGGAGCTAATGAATTGCCTTCTTCACAGTATTAAGCCGGACTGCAGACTTGTGCCCTGCAGCCAGAAAGAAAAAGCCACTGGAGAGGAGGTGGTGAGCATTTGCTGTTCCATGAGGGTCAATGGGGAGACTCAAGCTGTTAGGATTTGGTTGTTTCTTTGGGTTCCTCTGACTGGAGCAGTTAGGGGATCTGTGTCACTGTGAGTTAACCCCATG